AGCTTATAGACAGTTCATAGGATTATCAATCTACCCATTAGTACAAATGATGTGGATTGAGATCACTAAAAAACACAAGCTTAACTTGAGCTTGAGCATAGTTTCATTCAGCCAAATTACTGATTAACTGGCTGAATCTCCCTGTACATTTCTGTACATCTTTACTTCAGCTTTGTGTCCAAACACGATTGATTAGTTTCCTGCTGCTTAAGCCTTCTGCTGATTAACACTCACCCTATGGTTGGACTTATGTTGTGATCGAAATGATCCTGGACAAATCGGCAAACAATGCTGGATTTCCCAACTCCAGTGTCCTGCAAACATCAATCAGTCACAGGACATGCACACAAAGAGTGAGCGGTCACTATTGAACCTACTGGATTATACAACCATAGCAAATACAAGAGTATGCAACAGCAGTATTTAAGTCATTAAAATGATAACGTGAAATTATCCAGTAACACACGGTGTATGACTCTGTAACACGTACTTTCACTTTAGATTTCTTAAATATATTTTGATGGTAAAACTTTTGTACTATAATCACTTTTACTTATTAAGGGTTTTCACAATGAATACTTCACCTGCATTCTTACTAAGGGCCAGCAGGGGGCAACTCTTGTGGTTGCAAAAGGTTCCAGCTGTAATCAGCATCTTCCATGCTAACTCCAGGTGAGCACAACAATCTGCTAGCCACCAAAGCAATCACAAAGAGGCTTTTGTGCACAGCGTCCTCTTTGCGACTGATTTCACCTACTGTAGCAACAGCCAAGCAACCTCTGGGAACTACTCACCAACCACTCTGGAATACACATTTTCACTTGCAAACAGTGGCTATATCATGTCCATCATCATCCGAGATAATACTGGTATACATTTTTTTACTGATATCACAGACTCACTTCCTACTTACAGACTCCATTTAGTAAGTTGACTTTTCAGAATATACTAATTGCCCAACACAATCACAAGGTGTTAGCCAAATGAGCATGTGGTTCACAGAGAGAGCCACCTCTTATTAGTGTTGTGCAATACTGCCGATTTTAAGTAAATACAAGGCCAGTATCGCTGTTACCAATACCGATACTTCTAACTTATAACATCAACTTATGTAGAGAAGAGTGGTGTGTCATGACTTATGAGATGAATCACCATCAATTTTCAAATTCTGAATACATTTTATTGACCACAGTAATTGGATAACACAATAAAACACACCTTTCAGCTTTTTGTGTATCTTGAAACTGTTTTTTGGAGACCTGGAACGTAATGCCCTTTTGCCCCACTAGCACCTACTGGGCTCAGCATGGCTCAACTCAATTCGGTTTTTAGGTGGTACTCAGTTGTAATTGAAAACAACTGAAAATGAGTAGAGTTGAGTCAAATTGGTACTAGTGGGGAAAAAAAGCGCAAGTGTGCCTGTCTCAAAAAGACTTATGTTGTTTAAATGGGTTATAGGGTAAAAATAAAATAGACATTAAAGTCTGTTTTATCCTTTCCCCAAAAAGTCATTTAATACAGTTCAATGGACTACATACTGAATTTAGATCATAGAAACTAAGTATCAATTCTATCGCACTAGTATCGATACCAAAACCAGTGCTGGTATCGTTACTACCGATATCTGGATAGACACCCCCCCCCCCCCCCCTCAATTGTTACCTCTGATTCCAAAAGACCGACATGTCAACAGTAATAATGCTCAACTCATTGTATCTACATTAATCTTTGAGTCTGTCTATAATTTAAACTCTCATGCAGTCCCACTTTTCATGTAACACATCTGATGAAGAAAATAGGACCCCCCACCCACCCACTTCCTAATCTCCTAATGTGGCACCCCATTTTTTTAATCGTATAAACACCCCTGTACGGTTTTATGTGACTTTAAATGTGCATAAAATCTGCTCCTCCCGCTTGTTATAAGCATGCAGAGGTGTAACAAAAGATGGGTTAGGGTCAGCGTATGGTTGGGCTGACTCAAAAAAATATTTTAGTGAGGATGTCAGGGCCCTGAGGAGGTATGCGGGGGCCTAAAAACCTTATGAGGCTCTGAAAAGTTCCCAGCTCCCGACTTCAACATCATCGATAAAGCGACAGTTTGCGGTCCAAAGCGCTCTCGCCGTCCCTGTCACCGCTTATAAAGACAGACTGACGTGTTTCGCTAACGCAGCAAAAAATCTAACGGCTCGCTGGCTCCGATGATGACGTAATGGCTGATAAACTGTCAGAGCCGTTATAAAGTAAAGATTTATACTACACAGCAGAGCTTAATCTGTTAAGAACTACAAAATACATGCGAGAGGACATACTCAAAATGACTGCCGACCGATGAGGCTGGTTTTAAGCCAACTACTAGCTACCAATATTAGTTAAATTCCCAACTTATTTCACGAAGACGACAAAGAGTTCTTTTAAATAAAATACCGGAACTGACAAAGTACCGACTCTACCATTAAGTTGTAAACGAGCAGCTGTTAACATCAACATGTTGTCGGCTTTTGCAGTTTCGCAGCAGACTAAAGGAATTTGCCCCCAAAACGGATCAACAAAAACATCAACCACTTACCCCTAAAAGGCAAACCTTGAGCTCCCTTATAGCCATGGTAAGTTTTGGAAAGTTTTTAAATCATCATTTGTCAGTGTACACTCAATGTATTTCTTTCTTCATGCTTGAAACTCTATTATTTTCCCCTCTTCTTGGATAAAATAGAAACCCAGCCCCTGATACAGACAGACATCTCCACTAAGCGGCTGACAAGGCGCATAGAATAAATTTTACAACATCCGACAGTGACTTTCAAAATAAAGGTATCTTACAGCCGTTTTGGCACAAATAATGCGAAAAGGCTCCAACAAACAACTTCGTTTGCAATTTTATCTCTGCCTGTCAGTTACATGTTTATATTTTGAAATAAGAGATGAAAGATTTTAGACCTATTTTACCCTAAAAAAAAACAGTGTTCTTTAGTTAAGAATAGATAAAAGTGCATACAATGGTCTTCAGTTCAATGAAAGCATAACAGGACCGGGAAATGTCGGTCTGCTCTTAACATATTTTTGCAATTAACTAATTTAACCAAAGACAATGACGACTGTGACAATGATGTTTTTGTTTCAAAAATAAAAGCCTAAAGTAGGATCATCACACAGCCGGCTGTGCCCTGGCAGCCAAAAATGAGTGGGCTCCAGCCCAGTAATGGCTACCAGGCTTGGGTGGGTTTTTTGTAAGTGGGCTTGGGCCAGTTTGGACTGAGAATTGGCAGAATAAATGCATGCACACTGCATTAGGACTGAAAAACCGACCAAGGTTGGTAGTCTGACTTTTGACAAGATAAAGACTTTGTTCACTTTCAGCACCCAAACTACTACCATATATGGGCCAAGGCATTTCTTATAAATCAACTTGATTTTGGCCATTAAGGTGCCAAGCCGTTTTGTATACCTGGCCAATCTGTTAACATACTTTACAACATCACGAAACAAAGAAAGATGGGGAGGGCACCGAGGAAAACTGACAGTAACCACAGAGTCACAAGCTATGCAGGTTTCTGTGGTACATGATAGAAATGACCACAAATAAAAGAAAATACAACCATCAAGACTGAATAAGCTACTTATAAGGCAATTCTCAGTCATATGGTCTTGTGAGTTGTGATTTTATTATTTTTCATAGAAGAGTGAGGAATGACTGTGACACAGTAATTGTAAATGTTGCAAGAAATCTATGGTTAAAAAAGAAAAAGAACACCAGGTAAGATAACAGTTGACTCATGAAGACCATTGACCATATCTGGCATTTAGGTACAATACTGTAGGTTTCCTTCACATGCTGAATACCAAACCTGTACCATGCAAACTGGGGCTACAATTTACATGCGCTCACCAGTAATTGATGATTAATGCAAAAACATTCTGTTCTGGTGGGTCTTGATTTCTGCTCCAATATATGGATGGCAGGGTCAGTATCTGCTGTAAACAGCATGAAAGCATGGATCCATCCCCCACCTTCTATCAACAATTTAAGCTGCTGCTGTTGTAATAATGAGGGGAATCTTTTCTTGGCACACGCTGGGTGAAGAGAGCATCTTTGTAACCACAACCTAACTGAGTATTGTTGCTGACATGTTCATATCCTTATAGACATCCCTTTTTTTAATCTCTTTTTTTGTTCACTGTGCTCAGATGTCTCCAAATATCTCAAAAGTCACCAGATCACTATTTCATAGAGCACCTTTCAGATGTGGTGGAACAGGAGACTCAGCCAACCACTCAACAGTAATTGTGTGATGCTGTCATTATCTTTATAATAATAATAATAATACATTTTATTTAAAAATAGCGCCTTTCAAAGCACCCAAGGACACTGTACAACAGATAAAAACACAGAATGGTTAGATTTTTCCAGCACCTTGTTCAATCTGTGCCATGAAGACATAAGAATTAAGCCAAATCTAAAGGAACAAAAATGTTACAACCTTGTAATAACAAGTTGTACCTAATAAAATGCCCAGTGAAGGTATGTATAGCTCTATGGTTAATATTAATTGTATATCTATAGAGCCAACATTTCCTGAAATGCAGTAAACTATGTAAATCTACTCTTTTAAATTACAACCATTGCTTCCTTTCAAGAGAAAATGGTCATCTTGTTATGTGAATTCAAGTCAAGCTTTAATTTTGAAAAGACAGTTCCTAACATCCGTTGTTCTCTTAGTTTTTTTAGTCCTACTTGACAAGCCTAGTTTCCAAATCGGAAACCAGTTAAAGCCCTGACCAAAAAAAAGAAAAAGAAAAAAAAAGCTGGGTGGCTCCACTATCTCTTGAGTAATTTGTTTTCAGAGTCAAAGTCCAGCTTTCTATTCTCTCAGAGATGCTCAGGTTTGTATTTAGGCAGATACTGTGTAATGGAAAATGAGAAGTACTAAATATGGAATACATGTCCAGCCAGACATAGTCGAGTGAAAAGGTAAACTTGAGGAAAAGAGACAGTGAGATAATTATTTTAGACTGACACTTTATTCTTCACAGCATTACTGTCTGTAACAATCAGCTACAAAAGCTCAGAACAATATGAAAATAACCTCACGAGAAGCTTCTGAGCCTGTTCTAGTTTCATGGAATCGGGAGTCCAGATGAGATTGCATGGATTTGCCTGTGACCAAAGCAGGGCAGTCGCACTCGCGTAACTCCATACAGGTTATTAATGGTAAAAAAAGAAAAGAAAACAACAACAAGAAGACAAAACACGAAGAGCTGAAAATACAGTATGTTTGCAATTTTACAATAATATACAGAAAAAGTAAATCAGGACACATCTCTGCCTTAAATATTATCGAACAATGACGTTACATTGCAGCAGACACGGATCAGCTGTGAAATGAAAGGATTGAAGAAAACCTCCACACATGAAGAGTACAAAACAAAGCGTCTCCACCCATATAGGAAGCAAAAAATAAATCATCAGCACAGACTTGTTACATCCTTATTAAACTGGACAAATATGATCTCCCGCTCTTCCTCGTTAGTGCAGCGCAGGCAAAGGTAACTGAGAAGACGACTGCACTACGGAGCAAAGTGTGGCCTCCAGCTGTTTGTCTGCGTTTTGCAGCGATGAACACACATTTGTTATTTGGCTGTTCGTGTTTTCATCCACCGGTTAGTTGCGAGGTGCAACACTTCTCTGTATGAATCTGCCGTTCAAAAAAAGAAAACGAACCAGAGACTCTACAATATATTTATTTGTATATTTATATATTACTAAAAAGCTGCAACTTAAAATTAATGTACTTCTTGAATAGTCATCTGTGTACTTCAGAATACTACTTAAATATAGAATATATAGATAGACCGATCATAAATTCTTCATCATTCAAAAAGCTTTTGTTATCAGTGGTTCTCTGGGGCATCCTCAAGTTATGGCACAGTGGTCTCTATCCAAAAGAAAAAGTCAAATTTCCATCAAGGTAAGGGACGAATCTGAGCGACAGGGACTGATGACATTTGTGGTCTAGTGATCGCTTCCTGACTTGCTCACCAGTGAGAAATAATCTACAATCTACCCTCTCTTACTCTCATTGCCTTCATTTCCCCTTCCTTCCTCCTTCATACAGGCTTGGCACGGCATATTTGAAAACATGGTCCCTGCTAGTCTCTTACAGTGGTAGTCAGTTGTCCGCTACACCAGCTAAACCTAGCATTTGTTTGTTTTTTTCAGGGTGGTTTTTTTGCATGAGGATGTGAAAAAGAAGGTTAGGACACCGAAGACGATATAAAAGGTTTTTCCTTGTCTGCCACTTGGTGGACACGGTCACTAATGAGCTCTGCAATGTGAAATCTCCAGCAGGATAGCGAGCAACGCTGCAGGACAACTGGCCCACGGTAGAGACGAACACCAGCACAGACGACCATCAAAAGCATCACAGAGGTCTCACATGTTGGTGTCTCTCTTGTCTTTGTTTGGTGAAGGCTTTGATGGATCCTTAGCCGCCTTTCCGTTGGTGGTGGCAGCAGCTGCATCGGCGGTAGGAGCCACGGCAGCAACGGAGCGCTTGGTTTGCTCATCGCTGCGGGCCTCCGGGCTCGGCTGTGTGGGTGGAGCCTGCTCGGCTGGCGGCTGGGCGGTCAACTCCTGCTGTAGCTTGTGGCTCTGCAGGAGGCGAAGCTGAACGCGGAGCTCCAAGATGGCCTCCTGCTCCTCGTGGATGGCCTGGTTCAGGTGAGTGTTTTTGTTCTTCAGGGCAACAAAGTACACATTCAGAGTTAGATCCTGTAAAACTCCAGCCAATACTTTCACTATTACCAGAAACAAAAGCATGCTGAGCTTCTGGAATACGAATAACCACAATTTTGTCAAACACCACAGGACCACCGCAACAGGTAGTGGAGGCTGGATGCTTTCTCACCTCTAGTTCCTCGTTTTGCTTCTGCAGATCTTCCAGTATCATCTGCAGCTCTTCCTCATCCTCGCTCTCACTTTCGCTGTCTGATGAATACTCCTCTGTCTCGCTGCGACCCTGCTGCCGACTGCGGAGGAACACAATGCTGGCTTACTGCTAGGATCTAATGTCGTGTTTTACTTCATGGTCCCATAAACTTGTCCGACCACGTACACTGTCTTAAAGCAACTTAAAGCAAGACTTAAAGCGGCTGCCGAATGTTGACTGGTTCACAGGTGAGCTGGAATAGAGCAGGGAGGGATACTGGAGTTCACTGGGAATGGGAAAAAAACTTCAAAGATCAAAATACAGAGTATTAAAAGCACAGGCAGTGGCTGCAGTGGACACTTTTCATTGCTTTTAACACTCTGTTTCACTTCAGCTCTTTGTGTGTTATCACTTTGCTCTCCTCTGTGACTGGCTGATGGACCAACAACAGCACAAGCAAGAGTGGCCCATAGACCCAAGTAGCCCATACACCTGTTGGGCCACATACTTGTATAATGCCTCTATCTGGCAACAGAGCTCACTCCAGGCAGACGGACAATCCCTGGACTTGAGTGGACAGCGAATGCACCATTTCTGCTCGACCATAAAACCAGAGGGAAAACATCATGTTTTTCTCTCAAACAGGCTCAAATGTCATCAGGGGTATTGCTGCTAATGAGGAGACATTCACAGGGGTTCACACAATGCAATGGTACCAGAGTGTTGTCCTGAAAACAGCCCAATATGGTCCTTCACGCACAAATCAAAGGACACAACAAGACATCCACTGAGGGATCTGAAATCAGCAGTCACACTGAAAATGATCTAAAGATCCGCAAGAAAATGTACCTGACTGGGACATTGACCACTTTTACATCAGGTATAGGTTATAAATTTTACACTTCCAACACTGGAACTCTTTGTTCACACCTCATATTTAATCACTGTCCTCTTTTACCTCTGTATGTCTGCAATCTCTGCCCGCAGCCTCTCGATTTCCTCCTTCTCAGTAGCAATCTGTCTACGCAGCACCTGCTCAAGAGAGATCAGCTCCTCCTGCTCCGTCAGGATCTCATTCTCCTGATTATCGAGAGAACGAGAAGACGTTTAAAGGTTTTCTTGGCAAGCTTTTGATCGGTGTATTTTTATGAATTACTCACCTGTGCTAAAAGGAGGTTGATGACTTCCTCTTCATTCTCAGTCATCTCCTCCTTAGAAACGTCTTCCTTTGACAGGCTTGCTATCTCCTGGGCTATTTTACTCTCGCACTCCTAAAGCCCCACGGAGAGCAGACACATACAGCACAGTTAGAAAGTAGTTCTAGTTGAAATAACAAGACAATGCTTTAATCTTGGTCGATTCATCTGCATTTGCCTTTTTGTTGTTACTGTGTAGGGCCACATTATAGTTTATTAAGGACTCCCAGCTCAATTTAATACAGACTAAAGAAACAATCTTACTGCTGTTTCCTACCTTAGTGAAGGTTATAATTTCTATACATCTCAGAAGAGGTGGAAATTCAAACCCTCACTGGTATTACTGGGTATACGAACAGCTATTGTATCCAGAGAAACATAAATACTGACATAGACAGATTACCTGACGTTTGGCCTCCCTCAGTTTGCGTTTCAGTGCGGTCAGGATTCTCTGAACCTCCCAGAGCCGCTCCTCTTTGGACAAGTCCTTCACCCCTGCCTGCAGGTCCCGGTGCAGGCAGTTCAGGAGGAACTCCTACACACAAATACCTTCATAAATATTGGCTGAAATTTACTTAATGACAACAATCAGCTCAAGACAAGTAGAGGAGCCAAGCACATTTAATAAAGTAGTCAATATGAGAATAAAAAAAGTCAAAGTATTAAGTAGCAAAATAAACCATATAATCTTTTTAAAAAGGGCAGTCTGAGATTCACACATAACCACTTATAAATGACAAATAAAGTTAGTTGCCGTGGATAATTAACATGATTTGAGCATCATAGGACAAAAAAATCTACAATAACTTTTCAGTATATTCTAAGTTAGGTGATCTAGGAGGGATTTAGATGTGTGAGCCTCCTCTGGGATGTTTTATTGTTTTGGAAATCCAGGCCACGAAGGAACATTTTGTAATGTTAAAGAAACAGCTTCAGCCGAGAGACTGGGGTTCAAATCGACAGACTAAACCATCTGAAGCTGACGTGTTTTCTGGCATTTTCTTTTATATACAGGTGATTTCTGGCACACTGAGAAACAAACCCAAGATAAAGATGTGTACTGCTGACAAGACACTTTAATATAAATAGAAAAGGCCTTAAAGCTGCATTACTATGTTGTAACATTTTAAAACCTGCTTTAAGGGAAAATCATCATCTGCTTATATTAAAAAAAATAATTTCCTTTTGCAGCAGATATTAAGATATGAAGCAAAAGAAGAAACTTTTTTTTTTTTAAACTCATTTGTTCAAACACTAAAATAGGCAGTCATTAGTTGCCACAGGACCGAACCCACCTGCCGTCTGATCTCCTCTTTGATGCTCTCCTGGGTCTCGGGCAGAGCCGGCATCGTCGCCATGTTGGACCAGCGGAGTGGCCGCACCACTGGCTTCAAGACTACATCCCCAAACAGCTCCTTCACGTGGGTGAAGAACATGTAAAGGACACGATTCCCAATCTGGAAAGGAGGCACACGGATCACCAGAGGGAAACGAGCACAAAGCTGAATTGTATCTGCACCAGTTCCTCCACAATACAAATTCCTGCATGTTTATTTAGCCTGATTAAACTGGCCCTGGACTGTGCTCATTAAGTGGGAGAAGTATTTATTTAACAGAGTTGTGGCAGCTGCTTGCTGCTGGTTCAGAATAAGTGGAGCACCAACAGAGATGTCCCCTATGGGAATAAATTAGCTTCACTAAACTGGGCCAGGGTTTCAGAGATGAACTGACTCTTTGATCCAATAAAATTTCACTGGTTTGTTGCTAGGGGGAGGGTTGTTTTTTTTTTTTTTAGCTATATCTGAGCCTGAGCCAAAGCGCCACATTATTATTTGATGTTTAGTTTGCCTGTTGCTGGAAAATTGATGTTCTCTGCCCCAACTCATGATCTTCTTGCATATTTCTTCCCTTTCCCATGTAACGGTGCATTTGCATTTTCACTGATTGATCTCCTTCCCACTGACCTGTATGGTGGGGTTAAGGACGATGGAGATATTCTGAATATTCATCTTCGTCTCTGCCTCCCTGGCAATGACGTGGTCCATGTGTGTGACGAGCCAGGACAGAAGCAGTCGGCTCTCCAGCGGCACTTCGGTCAGCAGCCTCTGAAACTCCGTCACCTTTTCGGCCTCGACCTGCCGACCGCAAGCATCCTCGAACCACTGGGCCAAGTCTCGACCGAGTATGTTTTCGGGCAGCTCGCGGAGGTACTGCTTCAGCAGGCTGGCGACCGTGTGAGGGTCATACTCCTCCAGGCATGGGCACTCCTCTCGGTCATACGCAGCTTTCAGTTCATCTACTTTGGACTTCATACCTGAAAGAAAAAAAAGAGCCAATGTGAGTAATCAGAGACGTTGTTTAAAAAAAAAAAGAAAAAAGGAAGAAGGTAGAATCAAAATGTTTGATACCTGAAACCCGGTAGATGCCCTCACACTTCATCCCATAATTTTCAATGTAGTCCACACACTCTCTAAAGATGGCTGGTAGCTGGATGCCATCATACAGAGCTGTCCTCTTGATAGCTTCAGCCAGCGGGGCTCCAAAGATGGGCCTGAAGGTGGGGGTCTCCACTGGGACCGGTTCTGCCTCTGTGGCTGGTTTCTTCTTCTTCTTCTTCTCCTTCCACTGTTTCACCACATCTGCAGCTGTCAGGTCCTTTGACTTCTTATCCTTGGCTTTGTCCTCTTTGGGACCCTTCTCTTTCACCTTAAAATCCTTTTCTTTCTTCTTGGAGAAGCTCGGCTTCTTGAACACGTGGATTCCCTTGGAGCGCTTCATTTTGGACGGGCTCTCTGCTTCGTCTGCCGAGCTGTCCTCCTGGAAGGCGGCGTATCCTTCCGCTGTGAAAGTAAATAAAGAGTAGAAGAGGCAGAAATCAGGTTAGATCTGAAGGGAGTAGCACCTCTGTTTTCTAATCTCCGTCCTATAACCGAACTATGATAGCAGCGAAACAGAAACAGGAAGAGAAACGGGTGAGAGAGAGAAGATAGCAGAGGAGGGGGAGAATGAGGACTAGGAAAAGAGGTCAGCCACTGATTTAGCATAGCTCCCACTGCACCTTACAACGCTCCTCTCCAGAACAGCTCACTCTAAGCTTTTTTTAAAGTGATAGCGAGGGGCCCCTTGTCACTTTCAACCTCCTAATTTTATCTACGCTGGGTTTCCCCAAGAATGGGCTCTGCGTATCACACCGCTGCCTGAGACACACCTTCACTGGGTTCAGTGGGTGTGTGCTGAATCTGTCCATCTCTTCCTCTCTCCCACCATATCCTGGTGTAGGAGCTAAATCCAGGCATGGAAAAATCATGATACAAAGTGGACGACGGTGAAAAACATCCCCAGCAGAGGAACATTTCACACCACTGCAGCCATCAGGATGGAAACGTGGGAGTAGCTCGCCTCATTAGTACTGATGTGACCTTCAGCTCCCTCGGTAGCTCCCAGTTGTTAAAATACAAGGTTTGAAATATTCTAAATTTTTCTCCTTGTTGACGAATAACACAGCCATGTGCCGCCCTCCAAAACATATGTTAAAAAAAAATGTTGGAATGTTTTTGAAAATGTAATCTAATCTTTGGCTCAATTAAACTAGATTATAGGGTTTGTAGTGATTTCTATTATGTAAAACCTGTCCTGCTGCGCCTGTGAGAACAACATCTGACAGCTTTTTATTACCAGACTTCATTTCCTGGTTGTTTGGAAATGGTTGCAAAGCTATAAAATCGTGCTTATTTCATAAACCAGCCCAAGTCTGATTATAAATGTGTGTCCTGTTGTGTTCTACTGTTGTCAGTATTTTCTGTTTATCTCACTGTGTTAACCTCTTGGTCTCAATTCAATTTTATTTATATGTTGCCAATCACCTCAAGGCACTTTATAATGTAAGGCAGAAACCCCACAATAATACAGATAACTCAAACAACCTCCTTTAAGCAAGAACTTGGCAAAAGTGGGAAGAAAAAACTCCCTTTTAACAGGAAGAAACCTGCAGCAGAACCAGGCTCAGGGAGGGGTGGGGCCATCTGCCAATACCATTTGCAGGTGAGGAGGAGACAGAACAAAAAAAGAAAAACACTGCGGAATAGAGCAGGCGATAATAAGAACTAATCATTAAAGGGAAAGTGGTGTATAAACACAAAGTAAGTGAAAAAAAGGTCTTGTGAAGTATTTTGAGAGATGGGTGTCGCAGTTTAGCACCCACTATAAAAGCACCTTTTTCTTTCAACTGTACAGTGTACTCTGTTGGTTGCCATAATACTACAATGCAATTAGAATTAAGGTGCTACTACAGTTTATTGCATGATAACTCAAGCACAAGCAAACACAGCGATAGTGGTGATAACACAATCTATACTGCAGAGTTGGATATACTCAGTAAACTCTGGCCACCCTGCTTGGCTACCGTTACATGGAAACACGAGGCCTTTTATGTAAACTCTGGACAACATCAGAGTTTACGTCTAATCAGAACTCGATACTGTCTGAAGTTGCCTTTTCCCACATAGCACACAGCAGGAGACGATAAGAGGGAAGTTCTCACTACTGGAGTTTAGATTAGAATGTCCTCAGTGTACACACTCACTCTCTTTGAAGTCAGCAAACAATTAAGTTCTTTGTTCCCAAGACTGGACTTCAGTCACACTTTGTGTTAGGGAGCTAAAGTTTAGATGTTAGATCTAACATTTGGGTTCTCATGTGCACGTTTTTTCAGGTAATGCCTGGAAAAGTAAAAGGTTTTAGAAGAACCAGATTATCATATTTCCACATCCAAGAAAACTGTTTGTTTTTTTTCCCTACACAGGTATACATATTTAGATCACCTGGTGCTAAAAAACTTTTTCAAAGTGCTATTTTCAGAGTCAAAAATAAGCCTGCAATCTCAAATAGTTCACTTGTGCTATACTGTCCTTCCCTCCCTCAATCCATGTTTCCCAAAAAAAGCATCTTACTCCTTTTCTCCTTCTTCTTGAACTTGTTCTTTTTCTTGCTGTGCTCTTTGTCATCGTCGGAGACGTAGGCGTCGGGAGGCTCGTGGTGATGTCCATCGTGAGGCGGCGATGGTTCCCCGGTGCGGTACAGCCCGGGGAATTTGGTGGGGCTGATTTCCTCAGAGCTCGGGGTGCGGGCCACGCCCCCGGGGTGCTCGGCCCTGCGCTGCTCTGCGGGGCTGCTACTGGGGGGCAGGAAGCACTCGGTCATGGCTGCTTTGGCCTAATCACTCCTCTGATTCACACGTCACCCCTCCATCACACCTGCAGTGGGCAGAAGTACAAAATTCTGACTCAAACCAGTGTTTCAACTCATTGTTCAAAAAATTTTTCTACAAAAACATCAGTAATTGTGCACCTTTTCAGCCATATAATCAGACTAGAGCACTTAGCTCATTTGTTAATGTTTTTGTTTAATCTCAGGACCAGTGACTTAGATATATCCTGTGGATACCGTATGCTGTCTTTTACAACCTGTTCGGTATAACAGAGCTTAATTTTCTATGTTAGAGCACACTGCAACGATAGAAATATGCTTTCACAGCAAGGCAGATAAACTCAAAACAGAATCCAATCATTGTCAGAGAAGTATGTCTATCTCCAAAATGAAATCTTCATTTTAAGATCAAGTTGCTAAAGCGAACAACATAGTTATAACACAATTTACCGCTTAAAGTTAAACATGTTTAACATAAGACTTTGCAGACAGATGAGAGAATGTATGTAAAATAATCACGATCTGTAGCTGATCTTTAGATGTTAAGGTAGCAGAACAGTAAAACAAGCTGGAACTCTTTCCTGTGTTGTCTTCCTTTGTTTCTAAACAGTACGATGATAATCCCTAAAAAAATGCAACTGCACCAGTAATGTCCACCCACCAGATGGGGCTTCTGTCATTCAAACAATCCCGCATCCAACATGTCAATCCAGACAGCTGGAGTAGGAAAAAAACCAAACGATCACCTCACCAGTCAGAGACACAGTGACTTATCTGAAGCTCATCATCTCACATTACTGTAAATCATGTGATGGGCTGTATACAGACAGCTACCTGACACAGCCCAATGGCTGTCCGCACTGTGGACGGTAAACAGAAAAAGGAAGTGCTGAGTACTTCCACATGTTTAAGGAAGTGAGTTAAATTACATGACTGCACCTATTGATTCTAAGGTTTTGTAGGCTGAACATCATGATTATTATAGTTAACTAAAACTAGATGTGAAAAAGAAATATGTTAGGTAACTGGGATATAAAATAAGAAATGAAACCTTAATCTTAAACCAGTCATGAGTATCTATAAAAGGAGATAAAAGAAAATAAGTGCACACAGGAAATGTCAAGGTTTGTTTTTTTTCCTAATTTAGTCAATTCTGAAGAAACATGAGGAGGCTTCAGCGCAAGTGTTTGGGGTTTTTTTAAGACTGTGATGTTTAGATGATTCATCAGTGTTGTGTTGGTCTTATCAGAGCTACTTACAAATACCCATCATATTACATATATAAAAGACTAAGACTGAAACAAATAAAAGCTACACATAGTTCAACAGTAAAGACCAAGCTGAAGCTGGCAAACCCACTCTGGAAGCTAGTCTACAACTAACCTGGTCTGACAAAATGATCGTTTGAAGACAGACAACTGATGAAAAATATACAGGTATGAAAACTATGTTTAACATCTCCTAGATGATGGACATCAATACATAACAGAAATTTATTTAGGGTGCAATGAATTCACGTTTTTCAAGAAAATAAGCAGCCACATGTTCCTTTAAAGTATCCTAAATTAACTCTGGTTGCAAACAGATTATTCAAGCCTGACTCTCTTTTAATCTTTCTTCGCTTTGGGCAAATTAAATCACCATTTTCTGCTGGGTTCCTTAAAAATGACGTTAGAACAGCTGGCTACTTATTATCTGCTCATTTGTTTAAATGGCAAGGTTCGTTTCTGTATCTTCGATGAATTTACAATCAAACTGTCACAGAGAGCTGCCCTCCTGTGAACGTAGGGCCCCATATGCTAACGACAGTTCAGCTAGCTGCCATCCTGCTAAGCTAGCTGGTTAGCCAGCCTATCAGTAGCGATAAAAACCGAAGATCCGTCCAAACAAAAACCAACATCTGATACACAGTTAGCTACAGATGGTAAACTATATTTGCTAACCGCTGCATTATGTTTAATCAGGCAAAACACAAAAGGCGAGAAACTTTACCAAGTACTATCCCGTTCCGTTTATTTCACAGTATAGCTTCCGGCTGCCTGTATACCAAATAAACCCATCTGCGCTTGCGCTCAAGCACAAGTGCGTGTCGGGAAATGGAGTTAAACGCAAATAGAATCGTGTTTAACTCAAGTGAAAGAAATAGTGAAACATCTGTGAGGGGAAAACAGGAGAAATATAACTGAGAAATATCATAGTCCTCTTCTTCTTGTTTCATGTGTTCCCTTCATGTTACCCCATCCATAGCATCCGCCTCTATCACACCAAACCTTTGTCTTCAAACTGCTCAACCTGAGCAGTCTCTCAGATATACTGATTTCTAATCTTGTCCATCCTGGTCACTGTCAGTGAAAATCTTTTTATCAAATCCACGGTCTCCAAACCATACACCATATGAGAACCCGCTAGAATCGTGTACACTTTTGCTGCTTAAACCCATCTACCTTCACTGTTATACCTGTCTGCCTCTCATTCACGCACATTATTCTTCTCTCAAGAGCATACCTCCACCTCTCCAGGCTCTCTTCCACCTGCTCCCTACTCTCACTACAGATCACAATGCCATCTGCAAAAATAGTCCACAGAGACTTCTGCCTGACAATCACCCCTGCAAACACAAATGGCCACAGAGCTGATTCCTGATGTATCTGAAATGCTTGTTGCAGACCTCATTATTGTCTGGCTCCACATACATGCCCTGTATTGCCCTGACATACTCACATTATTAGCATATGTTTGCCTCTATAAGCTTACAATGGCTCATTCTTCTGTCATTAGGTAGAACTGAAACTTACATCAATGCACAAAAAAAAAGATAACCACAAGTACACACATACATATATATGCCTTGACTAACACATATTTTCCTCAGCAAGTTTGTTGTTACTGTAACTTCCAAAGAGCAGTCACAGCCTTCGTCTCGGTCACAGGTTATTTTAAAGCATCTCTTCTTTTTCCTTAATCTTCCATCTGCCTTTGCTTTTCCTGAATGTAGCACAGAACCTATTCCAGCGGTTCACACACTGCTGTGCTACAGTTATGTCCATAGGTGTTTGGACAATGACACATTTGTTTGCATTTTTTAAACAAGGGTGCAGGCATAATCTGGCCATGAAACTGCTAATTAATTACTGTTGAGTGTCGGAAAAGGATTAGAGTGCGTGCAAAAATTCCTAAATGTTTATTGCAAAACTTTTTTTTTTCAATCCCCTGAATTACAGATTAAAGTAATAATTTATAAAAGAAACAATTTATATTCATTAAGACTGCAAACCAGTCATGGAAACCATAAACTCACCATAAAAGCATTTACTCATTTCTTGTATCAAGTCAGAAGTCACACCATTTTCATAGACTTCAATATAAGGATTAATGCAATTTTAAGGCATGTCTGCCAACATCCAGAAGCTACTTCAGTTTTTATATATAGTCTGTTTGCAACACTCTGGCAAAGTAGGTGGTAAAAATACACCTAGTAGTTGGTAGAAGTGGGTGCTTCATTTATTTGGAGATCCTACCACAAATGTATTTTCTTTATAGGTTTCCTGGCTGAAAACAGTCTGGAACTAATGGCGTATGTTTAGGTTGTGGTATCGTTTTGATCTTAGCCACAAGTTCACTGCTATTCAAGCCAGTGTACAAGAGAAACTGTCAAACTGTGTTTTTAAAAAGCAACTAGAATCTAAATTTGGTGAAACCACATGCTATTCTCAATCATGTGTACTTTCCCCGAGCGCTGCGGTCGGACCCAGAAGACTGGTGGTCATCCTCACATATGAAACACATTATCCCTCTGATGATCTTTGTTGGCACCGTCGGCTCCAAACCACACAGCTGCAGTGGTGAAATGAGGTCGTGATTCAATATTATAAAAAAAAAAAAAAAAAAAAAAAAAGACAAACAAGGTTTCATTGTGTCGGCCGGTGGAGGAGTCTGTGCAAACTGCTGTTGCATGCCAATTGGGAACACAATCAGTGATAGGGCACCCTGCTGCCTTTTGAAAATGTACTGGCATTACAAAGAGCATTTGTGTGCGGCGGTGAGAGATTGGCATCGGCAAATGTTCCCTTCTCCACCCACCCTCCCCACACCATTGCTTGCATGAGACGGTCGGTGAGCAGTGGAACACCTGTGGACCAGAATGGTATAATAACAACTTTGTTTCCCCAGGAAATGATGCGTTTCCTGACTTGGGCAACAGAAGAGCTGGAGACAGGCAACTAGGAAGACAAATATTTACCATTTCACTCATGCCATAAGCTTTTCACACATTTTTTTCCCCCTCCCCAGAATATATAATGAAAGACTTTCTTAGAGACGGAAACAGTCACCAAAACGTATCTTTATTTGGCATGAGACTGGGATTTAGCGGACCATAATTGTAAAAATACATTATTCATATACAACTCTAGTAAAAAAAAGAAAAAGAAAAGAAAATGCTATAAAAAATTAAAAAAAAAACATCTAAAAATATACAGTGAAACAAAAACAGCAGAATAAAAGTTTGCAGGGGTAGGAGGAGGGCTGCAGGGGGCATTTTACAAGGTAACTGAGGAATGCTAGCACATAACAGTCATAGTTTCCTCTGTCCCCAGTCCTGCGGTATGGGGCAAGCATTTGGTACCAATATGTGCCCGCACTTCAGAAGAGACAGTTCATGCACTTCACAAGCTTGCTGCCGTAGTCCACGCACTCCGGTCCGATGCACTGGCAGCAGGCGTTGTGAAACCAGCGGTACTTGGATCCTCCCATTGACTCACAGTATAGTTTACACTGACGAATGGACACGCAGTCGTCAAAGTAGACCACAGTGCACATGCTCTCTGAAATTAAAGAACAACACGCAAAGATGATGGTGTGAGTCACAGATCCAGTAAAGAGAAAAAACTAAACCTTTAACCCTCAATTTCCTGCTTTTCCTTAAAAGCTGAGGTCAAATTGCTGCGTCAAGTATGATTGTGTGTTCTGGTGAGCTTAATGAGTTAACAGCTCAGCTCTGAGGGATTGCTTTCATTATTGCTTTATAGCAAATAAAGCAATAGAGGTTGAGAGCCAAAATGGCCTCAAATTCAAATAAAAATGGCAACGTAACACTTCCAATTCCCTTAGCTGGAGATCTTCTGGCAGCACAGTCCTGCTGTAATGATGCAAAAGTCTGATCCAACTGAAACTGGTCACAGTTCAAGACTGACTCGTCAGGTCACATTTTATTACCCTCAGTGAGTGAGACTAAATGTGAACAAAACAAGGAGACGATGGGAACAAAGGAAAAATTAAATGGCAGCAAGTCTTGTTTTGTGTGAGCCATTCAAAAACGTAAAGCAATATGAGACGGCACATTTAGGAAAAGACTGACTGCTTTTAGTGGACCATGTGGCTTCTCATCATTAGTTACAATTTCTGTGGAATACGGTGGTTTCGCTGATGTACATTTGTGGTCAGAGGTTTACATACACTCATCTCAGGCATGAATGTCATGGTAATTTTAGGCTTTTAATCATTCCTTTGAACCCTTCTCTTTCCAGGGAAGAATGATTGGACAGCATACATCTTTAACGACTTTAACAAGGATTGAAAGTACAAAGAACTCTGTGCAGATCCCGGTATCGTCAGTCCGATGAGTGCTGTGAAAACCTTTTTCTGCTGGCAAAGCGTAGTAGTAGCAGTCAACCATGATTAATAACAAGAAGTTAACAGACCTTTGCCATGTCAGGTTCAGAGCCATTATAGAATATTCATCACCGCTTATTCAAATTGTTTAGGTGTTAGTGAGATAGGATTTCCGGGGGATTCATTATTCTTTACGTGATGCATGAATCTCTATAGATCGAGAAACTGTATTATTTATTACCGAACATTAGTAGGTCATGACAATGAAATAGGTTGTTATTTACGTGTGAGGCACGCTTCGATTGTCCTAGTCCATGAGTTTGTAGCTGAATGAACTGTTCTAGACTGACTGAATCATATTTTTGAGGCGGGGGTCTTTGCTTTGTCTGTGGAGGTAAGGTGATCTGTTGTGCAGGGAGACTGCAGATTGCTGCTTTGTCAAAAATGTATTTTTTTAGTAAGTTATCTGCTTTTGTTAAACAACAATTTTGCAGACAGAAGAGGAAGTCTTTTGGCCTGGAATATCCGCCGGCCACAGAAACAAGCAAACAAAACACGCCGTTCCCCCCCGAGGACGAGTCATCAGACTCGTGATACATCGGTGTGCACACAGCATTTAAACTTCACATTAAAAGAACGAGCCAGTTACAAAGAACTAAAGAGCAGCTGGAAGCATTAAAATTTTAAAACCCATCTCTGAAACATAATTTATACACATTTCTTTATCTCGTTGTTGCTACACTGTCGTTTTATTCCAATTCATTTTTTTGACTGTTTAAATCTGCTGCTTTATGTTATTCACTCACTAGGACTTACCGATTATTAGATAAAAATATACTTTCATGTTTTGTCTTTTTAATCTACAGTAACTGGCATAACTTTATTCCTTTTTTGCCCTTTTTATGTTCTAAATGTACTTCTCTTTATGTGCTTTAAGTTAATTTTTATTACATTAGCAACTTATCAATCATCTGTGAAAAGCCAGTAAAAGTTTGCTTTCAAGCACACGAAACACATGATTAAAGCAACATAAAACATTACGGCAAAACTGTACTTGAAGTATTCGTGTAATTGACTTGACGCCCATTCATGAGTCTATTCAGCTGAGAAGCATTAATGAGGACCCTCTATTGATCAAAGAAGTGACACAAAAAACCCCCAAAACAAAACACACTTTCATTCTAAGGATGAAACAAACCTCCGCCAATCGAGGGGGGGAGAAAAAAAAAAAATTCAACTTACCAAAATTGTGAGAAAATAACTCAAAAGTTTTCATTATAAAGTTGAAATTTTTAGATTTCCAACTTAAAATTTTGACATAATAATAATAAGCCCAAATTTTGATTGGATTGCAATAGTTCCCCCCAATTAATTATTATTTTTTTGGCCTCAGTGACAGAAATACGCTTTCCTTCAAACTTGATGATCACACCTCAGTGTAGTAAAGTGTGAACAGGTACTTTTCCACGCTAACGCAGCGGCGTTACCTTGACTGTCGAGGCTGCCGTGGATGCTGTTGCCAGGCACGGTCACGTTCTCGTGCTGGCTGTTGAGCGTCTCCAGGAAGGAAACCAGGTTCTCGTGATGCGACAGCTCCTCTGAGACGGGGAAGGACACGACCATCATGTTGATCTGCACGTCGCCTTCCGTGAGGGCGCGGAACAGCGAGGGGATGGGATTTTGCAGCTCCTCCACGGTGCTCTTGGACGTGGCTGGAGTGTCGCTGTAGTTCTTTGGGTTACACATCCCTGATGTGAAAACAGTGAGAGCACAGTGAAGGATCAGGTCACAGGAATCATCTCAGAAAGCAGAAACTGCTGGAAGTCTTGTTTGATTGAAACTCTGACTTCACCAACACAATGCAGCTAAATAACTGACGCTCACGAGGCAATTTCCCCACTTCTCTGGATAATCCATAGACATCACTGTCAGGTTTTATTAATTCATATAAATCAATTTTTTACGTTGTCCAATTGTATTCATTGTATTCAGTTACATGCAGAGCCATTTGTTTTGTTTTTAACTGAAATCATTCAAATTTTAGACCTTATGCTAGTCATTTACTACACTCAGTATCCTGGAAGGAATCAGGTTTATTAGTTTACATGATACAGTGTTTGCTGTGATCAACAATTCTCTGATGGAGGCTTTTGTATAGTTGCAAAACTCGTGAAATCTTTGAGATCATGTTTATTTCAGTGTAACTACAGCGTAAAGCAGCAGACTTTCACACAGTTTAAGAAAAAAGAAAAAGAGACCGAAGCAAAAAACTAGAACAGCAGTGAAGGAACGGGCCGGCTCACGATCCATCATAATCACAGGTTATTTTCATGTGTGAGGTTTTCTTGTCACTGGTCAGCTCTTTTGCACAAATGAATAAGAATTCAAATCTGGTGAGAAGTCGAGGAGGCTCACAGTCAGTCCTCAGGACAAATTCATCTTGTTTTACTGAAATCTGACTGATACTCTCACAGGGGTAAGTCTCCAGGAAGTTAAACGCTTTCTGGTGACTTATCAGTCCTACACAGCAGCACGGAGGACTTAATCCTACGTACGAACAGCCAAGACTGAGGTTTCCGTGGGTTTCCCCTGAATTTATTTCATGCTTTCATTCCTATAAAACTTCTACTTTATTAAAAAAAAGTTGAGAATCATGACCATTCCAAAACACCTGAGAGGCAACAACGTGATTTCTTTTCTTAAGTTCTCAGGTCCTGTGCACAAGTGCAAGTAAATATTTTAGTAAACTTTCTCTGTGGTCTAGTCAATTTTTGGTCTAGTCCACAAATTAATTTACGGATGAACTTAATTTCTGCATTTACATGAGAAAAAGGAAAAAGATCATCTTGCAACATCAAAGGTGTTTTTCTTTATATCTTTTTTGATGTCACACTGTGGATCATATTTTTTTAGCTCTAGTCTTTGTATATGTACAACAAAATTGTGGTGTTTGCAGCTTTCTGATTAGACAACATTTCGACACATCACGCTCAACAGCCCTTGATATTGTAGATATTTAAGACAAAAAAACAAAAAAAACAAAATCCCCACTTAAAAAACAAAACAAACAAACAAAAAGAAATACCAGTGTACTTGTGGAAGTAGCCTCAGTTCATTTGACTTGTGAAAAAGAAACCTTGTCAGATTCCCGCTGCCTCACACCTGAGAAACGATTACCTTTGATTTCCTCGAGGTTCACACACACACACACACACACACACACACACACACACACACACACACACACACACAGTTAATAATTTTCCTCACTAAGAAATCCAAGTCTAATATATTATTCAGATATATCACCAAGGACGTGACTGTGGGTCGCAAATCTACTTGAAAAACTGAGTGAGGTAATGTCAAAAATAGATATGCATTTTTGAGCATTAAGACATTTTTCCCCTTTACAGTCTTGAATTATCCGGTTAAATCTTAAATACAAAGACTGCTTTAAAGGCTAAACGGTCGAACACACACAGACACAGCAACTCACAAAGGGCCGTTCTGTAAAACCACACCACTGTCAAAAACGTCTCGTCTCAATTAAGGCCTTTTTAACACTTCATTTAATTTCCAGATACAGTAGTAATCACTCGACAAAGTCCCCACATCAAGATACGATCTTCCTAAGCCTTCAAATGAGTCAAAGTGAATTATAGTTAATGACTAAATCATTTTATGGAGAACGGAGTTTGACAGAGGAATTGGATTACAAAACTGATGCTAAAAGCAGAGCCAGAACAGCTGTTTTCGATAAAATGTACACATGGGTCCTCCCTCCATGTCCTCCCTCCCTCCCTCCTCTAAAATATAAACCGTCCTCTCCCCTCCACTCGGCCACTCTAACGGCTCTCAGACACACACTTCAAAGTAGATGGAATTTGGCACAGGGAGCGTGTTTAGAGTGAAAACTTACTTAAAGTAGACATAAGGGTAGCGGCAAGGAGGAAAAGCAAAAACATAAATGAGGAGTATAAACTTGCTCAAAGCTAAAAGCCATCCTCGGTGTATTGTAAAAGGCCTGTCCGGGAGGAAAACGGCACGTAACATCTGTGCAGCAGCAGCAGGAGCAGCAGGATGGAGTTCAGAGCTCAGTGTCAGATTCTTGTGTTCGTGTTCCACATGAAAGAGCTTTAATAAAGCTTCCTTGTCAGCACGTGAAGCAATATCTGTCTGCCGGAGCTGATCTGAGAGAAGACTGGTTTACGAGGGCGAGAGCTCAAACCTCGTGCTTGCGTTTTCGCACAAACTCCAAACAGCGTGAGGGGAATCGAGACGTGTCAACAGGTGTCCTCTCTCACACGTAGCACACAGCTTCAACATGTTAAACCAACAGTGTGTGTGCGCGCGCGCGTGTTATCGCTTCTGGAAATCCGTTTTATTTAGATGAGGGAGTCTCCTACGCCACGCAGACTTTGTGGGATCTGGAAGGTTATTAAGAGCGTTTCAATCTATGCAAGTGCAGCGTGTGAAAATGGCTACGGATAAAATTCTTAACAGATGCAGGCACCCTCCACAGGAAGGGATTTTGGGGGTGGGGTTAAACAACCTCCACCAAATAAATAAGTAAATAAATAAAAACCAAAAGAAGTGCAAAATAAGCTAAATCCACATGCTAAGCTACATACAGAATTACAAAACAAACAAATTTAGGGGGAGCCGCAAAACCACCAGAGACAGAAACAAAGAAATATCAAACGAGAGATGCGAAATGGAAAGCAGAACACACACACACACACACACACACACACACACACACACACACACACACACACACACACACACACACACGAATGTGCAAAGCAGCTTTAAAGAGGAACAGTCCAACCACAAAACAAGAGGCAAAAACATCACAAAGAAATAAAATAAGCTAGAAAGTCAGAACAGACACACAAACAACTACAAGATAAAATACAAAAAGGACACAAAACAGTGAGAGTGACACAAAAATACCTGCGAGAGTCAAACACACAAAATGAGAATAATGAGATGCACAGCTAAATTACAGCTTTAAAAAAACAACAAAAACTCGTACAGTCTGGATGTCGTGCAGCCATGTAGCGGAGGTGGGATAGCTTTAACAGCTCCAAGTCAGGCTCTTAAACTTTGACTCTGCTCACTGTTTCTTGTTTTTTACCAATCTGCCTTTAAGTCTGGTTTTCAAACCACCCCTGCTGCTTTGAAGTGAGTTACAGTTTTAACCAAAAGTCAAGAGTTCGTTTAAGCAGCTCGGCCTCGCTGTCCCTTCGGGGCCTCTTCATCCTTTGATCTTCGAGAGCACCTCGAGACTTCTGTCCATATGTGGAAGTGCTACTTTAATTTCCTGTGCTCTGATAAACAGTCGTCCTCTCCGCACGGAGGCCGAGACACGTTTGATATCTGGCTCTGCTCACCTCACACTCTGGTATCACAGCAGCAACACCCTGAGCAAACTGCAGCGGTTTAAACCTGTGTGCTTCTCAGCTGTCGAGCGCATTACAGCCTCGCTCTCAGGCTTTTACTGGGAGAAAGAGCTCAGAGATGAGACTTCAACTGGCACGTTCAGGTATGGATACAGATCAGTGTCAGAATTATTTGAACTACCTTATGAGTCAAAATATCTGGGGGGAGTTTAACGCTTGCTGTGACAAGTCGTCAGGGTTTCTTACAACAAAACTGGGATTTCATTTGACAAAATGCAATCTTGGATCCACTGATGATCATCTGACAACGATTTAGCTTTTGAGATCTTTGGAATCATCTACATTCGTAACTAATGTTTGGTGCACACAAGCTAAATGATTGAGCTAATAGGCTAGCCACTGGGTTCCCTGATGAGCTCAGCTCATCTTTATGGGGAAATTATGGTTCACCAATGGCAGTGTGGGCAGCCTGGGACTGCATGGCTACCTGCAGAGCACGCCTGTGGTCAGATTAGGTTGCTGTGGGTCCATCAGGTGCAGAGAATAGTAAACTTCTAGCACACAAAGATGATTTGGGGAAATTTGTGGAATTTTTTTGAACTTCTACCTTTTTGCTACCTTCCCTGTCCCCGCCTACTCATCAACCGATCAGCAACGAACACACTCATCCATGTCAAGCACCATGCAGCATGGATTTTGGACGACTGTCGGGAGCATATTTACATAGTTTGAAAACCCCTCTTCGTGGACAAATCCCTCCATAAATCGAAACAATCGGGGTAGCATAAACTAAGCATGACACAGGCTCTGCTTCTATGCCACGACACTTCATCAAATTTTGCTTCCTCCTTCACACACTGCTTCACATCACACCATGAATGTTTCAGAAGAAGTCTGCACAGTTCTCACCACATTTTTCTTCAAGTCAATCTGATCTATAAAGAGGACAGAGTCATTTTTCCAAACACAGAGGAACTTGTGTAATACTTCTGACTGAAACAAGCTCTGTCTTGGGCTGGCCTTAAAGCCATGTATTCTCATTGTTATGGGTACTTTTCCCTATGCAACCCTCTGAACATTGGCAGGATTCACAACAGAGTCCAGTATCAGCACTGTGTATAGCTCCCAAAGCCTCATGTTAAACATGAATCAGTGGTGAAAGATGCACGATTAGCCATTTGTCCATGTTTTTTCTCAACATGGAGGAAAAAAAAACAAAAACTCTGCTTCAGAAAAGGCAGCAAAAAAAAAAAAAAAAAAAAAAAAAAAAAAAAAAAGAAGCAGGAGACCTTGGGCCTGATGTCTCACCCCATTTCTCTCTGACGGAGGAGGGGACGGCAGCGCTTTCATGTCACCTTTTTTGAGTGTAGAGTGAGCGATGAGGTGATTCAAGTTGAGTCAAACAGTTCAGAAGGACAAAACAAAAACGCTGATGTGACGTGGTGCTGTATGTGTGCGTGTTTGCACTTCAGTCTTGCGTCGCTGGTTACCGTTGGAAATAAATCCTTGTAAACAAAACTTCACAACAAATTCAGCACTGCGGTACACACATCCATCGCTTCTGACACTAATGTCTTACGCACATGTTGAGCTCAGCAGATATCACCAACCTGCTCAGTGTGCAGAAGCCTGAACTAACAGTGAAGTTCTCCAAACCTAAAACAATACGGACCAACTTTCTGTCAGCTTTAAAATGCGTTGCTAATAAAAACGGAGTCCCCTGCACTCACCCACGCAGTCGCAGCACTCCTCCCAAAGATTCCCCAGGCACAGCATGCACTCTTTACAGCAGGAGCAGTTCCCATCAGACGGACGACACTGGCACAGCTCCTGCAGGAGAAAACACAAACGTGCATCAGTAAAGCACAAACAGCTCGTGACTCGTTGCAAAAACACTGGATAGTACTGGCTGCTGTCCTGATTATTATGCTACTGGTTGTACAAGCATACTTGCTACACATGAGTAATTTCTTCCCCTGAGATAAAGAGTGTGGACAGCGAGCATAGAAGCAAACCATTACAGAGACCTGTGCACAAACTGGAAATTATATTTTATGAAGGTAAAATATGGAAATGAACAAATTTAACCACGACCAACCGAAATGTTTCCTTTGCTATACACCACAAACACACTTTGTCCATGATGGAGGAATGGCAGCAATAATGCCAGCCACAGACGTGAGATGTCGACTGATACATTATAATGCAGAATGGCACGCTTATGTGGGACAGTGTCATCACGTAGTTTGTCCAGCAGAGTGACTTTGATGTCTACTGTGTCCAATACAGACATCACCGCAGACTGTACAGGCTTTGGTTAGGATGTCTAATATTAAAGTTAGTGACAATGAAAGTATGACTGAACAAATATGGCTTGTTTGGAAAGGTTGGAGGATGAAGCCTCTTCTCTCTTAAAAGAACACGGCAGCACGGCTTTTGTTTGCAAAGCATCTTCTGAACAACAATTCTGGGACAATGTCCTTTAGACAGATGAGCCCAAAGTGGAGATGTTTGACCTGAATGCACAAACACCTCATTCAAACTCCTGTGTATATGGAAGTTTTCTACAGTCAAATATGACTCTAGTCAATGCATTCTGTATGTCTTCTTCAGTAGTCTTTCTCACTCACTATGTGTTAATAGACCTCTCTGCATTGAATCATACTTGTTATTAATCTATGTCTCTCTTCCACAGCATGTCTTTTGTCCTGTCTTCCTTCTCTCTCCCCAAAAAGTCGCAGCAGATGGCCCCGCCCCTCCCTGAGTCTGGTTCTGCCGGAGGTTTCTTCCTGTTAAAAGGGAGTTTTTCCTTCCCACTGTCGCCTAAGTGCTTGCTCATAGGGGGTCATATGATTGTTGTGTTCTTCTCTTTATGTGTTATTGTAGGGTCTACCTTACAATATAAAGCGCCTTGAGGAGACTGTTGTTGTGATTTGCTGTATAAATAAAACTGAATTGAAAGTATCTGGCCAAATTGGCTTAAGCAACAGGACAATGGTTCCGAACACAGCAGCAAATCTACAACAGGCTGAAAAAGAAAAGATTCTACAGCCCAGTCTGGACCTCACCCTACACCCACTGAAGCAATGCTGTAAAGAAGAATTCCTCAACAGTGATGCAGCAGTCTGATAAAGTCATACACAATATAATTATTTAGTAGCCCTACAAGCCATTGAATCGTGGGGTGTACCTCGTTTTCACAGGACTGTATGCATTAAACACCGCTTAACAAAACCTGACTACTAAACTCATCTCAGTCCTGATGAATTTGATGCGGAGGTGTCTGACAGGTGCAGCAGAAGCTTCAAATCACAGCAAACACGCTGCTCAAACAGCAGACGTACCATTAAAACATTACAGGGCCCACACAGGCCATTACAAGACTGCGCTCTGCGTGTGGCATTCATCGAAGAATGCGAGACGTCACCGCAGACTCGAATGACTGAAAAAAAAAAAGAAAAAGAAACGGCATTTCCTTTCATGACCGCAGCAGGTCCGGACACGTTAATCCACACTTTCACATCACAGGTCTCGGTTTATGATCGAGTTAAATATTTGACACGTTCTTTAAAGAAAAACTGCACTTTGTTACAACTTTGGTTTACTAAACCAAGAATTCAACTGATTCACAATAAAGTAGCTAATTATGTTGATGATGTTTGTACTTGTAGTCATCAGTAGCCACATGTGAACAATTTACTTAATGTAATCAATAACAGTGGTTACCATGGTTCAGCATTTTCTAATTTGATGGGTTTGTTTTATTTTGTTTTTTGGGATTTCTGTTCATATTTTATCATTTTAAAAAAAAAAATTAGTTTTTATTACTTTCAGTGTTGGTTTTAGCCTTTTAAAATTTTTACTGCATGGAGGACGTGTCAGCGGCAAGATTTAGGAAAATCAGTGATAAAAAACAAAACAAAAAAACCCACTTCACCAAAAGCAGTTGACTCACAGTTTTGTTGAGATCTCAAAGCTCAAACACACCATCAATGTCTCATCTGTAAGTGGTAAGAAATTATTTTATATTCAAACAAATACTAAAACTAAGGATATTTCCGCTTTTTATTTTTTCCCCCGCATACTCTTTCACGTGATTGAGTTTATTTTGAAAAGTCTCAAAAGCATCTTGAGCTTTATTGTGAAAGGTTTATATGGAACATAAACAAGTGGACACGCGATGGTTTTACCATCGTTGTTGCTAACCACAACCCATAAAAAACAGGCTTGTCCGTCAGTTGTGTGGTTATATTAAATATAAGAGAAAGAGAGAACTTTAAGAAATTAATATAGCCGCTACAGTGACCATCAAAACGATGAAAAAAAAAAAATATTGCCGTAATGAGTTTATGTTGCGACACCACGAAACAAACGATAGTGTAAAATGAAATGATAGACGTTTTTATATCGTCATCCGATATATATCGTTATATCGAACAGCCTTAGTCAGTTATGTCTTCTTTTTGACTTTAGGGCAAAAATAACCCTTTTTCCTGCAGTAGTGCCATTATTGTTATGCAAGCTGACCAATTTTAGAGACGCCAGCTGTAGAGAGCATCATCTCCCTTCTCTTGATTATAGTGGAACTAAAAATTCCACTTCTCATGTAGTCCCTAATCCCCAAAAAAGTTTTTCTACAGAAACTACGAATCCTAATGAAATCCACAAGATCAAATCCAGCCCATCAGATGAGAGTTAACACTTAAAGGAGAATTGGATATTGAACATGCTCGCTGGTGACATCCAGGTTGGCCCACAGACTTTCTGAGGACAATTATTAAGACTCATTTTTCTGCCTGTTAGGAAGGTTTTGCCAAATTCTCACAGAGGAGGAGGAGGAGGAGGAGGAGGATTAAAGTGGTTTTCATGTTTGCTAACACGGAAAAGATCCAGGTTAACTTCTAAGAGGAAATAAATCTTTTGCTTTAGGAAATTTAAAAAAACCAAACCAAAAAAAATTGACCAAAAAAACCAAAAAAACCTACCAAAGCAACAATTGATGATACAGCCCAAACCATGCAGGCCAATCAGAAGCCTACAAACAATAACACACAGTGCACACTGATTTCAACAAGATAGATAACAGCACACACATTTGACCTTGCAAGACAAAAATCTCTGGTTTGCTTGTCTGCAGGTAAATGCCAAAAAATCTTGAAAAATTTTCAAGAAGTGCAATTTTTAGTGACTTAAAAAAACTAAACAAACTAAACAAACTAACAAACAAATAACAAAACGAACAACAATTATTAAAAGTTGAATGTGTGCAAAGATCTTGTGTTTTTTTCCCTGTCCCACTCATTTTCTACATATCTGTACAGTGATGAGAGAGTTTCCATGAAACAGACACAAACATTCAAAAACATTCATGTGGATGTTTTTGAATGTCCAAAACATTCAAACTGGAACAAACTATCCTTTAAAGTCTTAAGTCTTTTCCAGACCAGAGTCCTGAAAGACTTTCACAGCTCAGGTCCTCATATTGGCACATGAAGTGAAATCTAAAGCATTTATTAAAGTACACAAAAAACTATAATAAAAACAACAGCTGTGCAAATAAGAAAGAAAATATAAAAGTCTTTGTATGACATGATCTCATACAGAGGCCTCACACACACACACACACACACACACACACACACACACACACACTTGAGCTCAACTGCTCACGATGCTTTTTTTTTCTTCTTCTTTCTTCCTTCCTTTCTCTTAGATGGAAGCTACAAGTTTCTGCAAACATCCAAAAACATGAAACCACTGCTGATGCAATACCTCCTGTACAAACACATGGAAACAGCACTCCTGTGCTGCAGTGCAGTTTGCGTTTAGAGTTAAAACGACACAAAACTAAAAAAAAAAGCGCAGTTGGTGGGCTTAAAAAGCAAGTGAGAGTGCCAGAGGAGCTCCTCTTCCTCCCTCCTGTTCCCCCATGACACTAAACAGGGAGCACATTCCTCCATGTCAAGGTCACTGGGATGGGGGAGGAACAGAAGGAGGGAGGGAGAAGAAAACACCTGGAGAACAGGACAGGGCTGCTCCCTCCATGACTCCTTTCTTCCAGAGTCTCCTTTGCAGTTTTGCAGAAACCATGTTTTACACATAGACAGTCTCTCTTCAGTGACTCACCATCGAGGGATTGCAAGAAACACACAGAGCTCACTTAATCACTGGCCTCTCAATCCCCAAACCTCTGATCAACATCAGATCCCATGAGTAATTATGACTCTCAAGGGTGAAATTATGAAAAACTAAACAGCTGCTCCTGGGAAGAAAACATGCAGCCTTAAATCAGGCAAAACGTATAAAAATAGAAATTTATTTATTTATTTTTTTAAAAAGGATGGAGGAGACTCATAGACCTGCATTTAGCCTGGCTTTAAAACAGTAACGGCTAACTGCCTACTAACTGCTACTTTAGCTGGATCCACTTAAAGAAATAAAAACAAATAAAAAGTACATAACAGTACATAATCACCTTTTCTTTTGAAGAAACGTTTTAGTGAATCTTATCTAAGAACCATGTCTTTATGTGACGTATGGCACTAAAGCAAGAATGCTTTTCATTAGCTTAATTTACAGTTACTAGTAAATTTGCTTATTTATTATGAAGATGTAGGCAAAACAGGAGGGAAGTGTCAAATATAAAGCTAAAGCTAAAATAACTGATTAGCTTACATTTCAAAACTTAAGGAAGGCCGGCTGCAAATCTACACGTCAGATTTCCAGCCGGTCTTCGCTGCAGGAGTGTTTTGTGGAAAACTTGCTCACATGTTTAGGGGTAAGAATTTAAGAAGTGATGTTAATTACCTTATATTTGTTAAGAATGAGCTCAAGCTTAGAGGGAGCTAGCTTTAAAATAAGCACCTCTCTGTTTTTACAATCTTTGCTATGTGCAAAGACTAAGTTAGAGCTCCATGTTTTTGTTTTGGGTATTTACGGGAGTAGAAACCACAATTCACTTCAAACATTTTTTTTTCCCTTTTACTTTATTTAATTCCATTTAGCACCCACATGAAGATGGGACATATAAAAAAAAACCCGACTTTGTCTCAATCAGCTGACTTCTAGAAGCCTGCTGAGAGGCAGCACCTAGCATCTGTGAGCACAACCTCATCATCCAGTAAGTGTGAAGGTTACGTAATGGCCCTTTATTATCATTTGTCTAAACCAACATCAAGCTAGACTCAGATTTATAAATGTATTCTCTCCCAGAGCACCAGTGGTTTGAAGGACACCAGCAACAGCACAAAGAAAAAGAAGACGACATAAAATACAGTTCGTCTTTGGAAATGGTAACTTCTTAAATCCATCTGTACATGTGAGAGCCTTAATCTGCTGCACAATATCACAGTGGACGGGATGGCTGTCTGGAGAAACAGCTCAAAGATGGCATCTGTAAGGCCTGCACTCAGACCTCATTACTGTGTGATACGACACTGGATTTATTCTTTAAATTACAGGTCATTAAAAAAAGTGAAGGCTGAAAAAAAAAAAATGAGCTAACATGCAAACTGATTTGGACACAGCCACTTCTGCCTTTCAGACTTCATTCTGAGACAAGCAATTTGTCTTCTGGCTCTACCTTTATAGTTAACGCACAGACATAATTAGTCTGTTAGTGTTAAAATATAACTACGTCCAAAAGTAGCGTTTCCATTCTTTTTACTGAAGGAAAACAAAAAGGAAACAAGGTCTCGTCCCATTTATTTTCTTTTCAAGTTCTCTTTCTTGGCTGGTATCACCCTAAAGCAGATTTCATATAAATTCGAGTAAAAACACTAAAGATTTACTTGCCTAAGCCTCTTAAACTCTTCATCTCCTGTGATAGTAAATTCAACCTCTTTGCTTTTTCACCATATTGTTTGACAAAAGAAGCTTGAAGACATCGCTTTGGGCTCGAGGAACCTCCTTCACCTCTGCCTGACGCTGTCGGGAAACAGCTGGAAAACGAATGGACAGACTAATCAGAACAAGCGGTAGTTGCAACCTTCCTAACAACAATTTCCCCACTGAGGTGGATGAGGTTATCTTAACGGCTTAAAGAGCTCTTATTAGGCTACCCTTGCTCTCAAGTGGAAACCGCTGCAATCAGTCAAAGCCCGGCTGCAGCGAGACAAAAGGGCTCTGGAGGGAAAGTGAGTATGCGCTCGTCCCACCGAGCGACCGCTATTGTGTTTCAGCTTTGAAATCTGCTGCCCCACCCTGCTAAACAGCCTGGTGTGCAGAGTCCTGGACAGAGCTGGATTGTGAAGTTTTGCACACATCTTAGACTCAAAACTGTAGGTTTCTCTCCACACAGACGCACACACACCTCCTCCTGACCTTAACCTCCCCTCCCTCCTCTTCAACCTCCTGCTCTCATGTTTCCCCACCCCTTGGTGGGGGTTTAGGGAATTCAAGACAAATGACTTGAGATGGCAGCAGAGCGCAAAAGTGAGCGTCGGACAGCAAATCCCACTAATCACAAGCAACATGGAGCGTCTACAGAGGGGCTGGAGAGGCAGAAAAGTTTCTCCTTCACGGCGCACACACACACACACACATAAATCGCTCTCGCCTCTGACAGCTAGCGAGTTGGTGTCGACGGGGTCGCGGAAGCTACAGAGCTGTTGTCCGGAGCAGTGATTCATCAGGCGAAACAAGCCACCTGGAAGTAAAGAACAAATAGAGGGCCTCAAATGTTCTGGGGAAACTCAAGCCAGGAAGAAGGGATTTGTTTAGGAGTTTAATCCAAAAAGAAGTAAGCTTTAAAAAAAGAAAAGAAAAAAAAGCCACGAGAGGCTGTATTTCCTCTGAAGATTTTTGGAAGAGAGCTCATTTTTCCTCAACTGTTTTTAGATCACTTAGCAATTTAAGACCTTTGCAAAACAACAAAATCCAGGAATTTCCTGGCTACAGTGATTCACGTGAGGATTTCTCAATTTTCCTGAGGCGTTTTCACACATGAACTCAGGAAGATGTTTGTAGAATCAGTTCGGGACGCCTTCTTAAGTTTCCTTTCGCCTCAGCCACATTTTCCCCAACTGAAAATATCAGTATCTCTGTATTCATCGCACCATCACCTGCACTACTCTCATATCAGTGCATCAGTCACACAAAGCAAACTCTTAAAGACCAAAGGACGTCTCTTCTGGCTGTATCAGATGCTTACGCGCCCTCATACAAATCCTCGGCGGGTACCTCTTAGAAAAGTTGAGGGCTGTGGTGCATGTGTGAAAACAGCACAGATAAAATTCCTTGTAACAGTTTCTAAAGCTGCACACAATGTGGGAAATAAGTATTCGATCCTCTGACGAATCTGTAAGTTTGATGAAGTGATGATTTCAGTCCATTATAAGGTAGTGTGTGTAACCAATAGTGTTCTTGATGACTCTGGTCCCAACTGCCTTCAGACCGTCAACGAGCTCCTCCTTTGTAGTTCTGGGCTGATCCACCACCATCATGATGATCATCTTCACCCCATGAGACAAGATCTTGCAGGGCGATTTATGGTCATTTTCGATATCTACAGTTTGGATTCATCTCCTGTCTCTAAGTCTTGTTTCTTTTCATACCCACTGCTCACAGCTTACATTTAACCATGTCCTACATGTCTTGTTGTACTGTTGGTAGTTGCTGCACGAAAAGTTTTCCTTGAAGCAACGTAGTGATCAAAAGGGGGAAAGGTTGGATTACCAACCAGGAAAACAGAGGAAGAGCACAGGGCTGCTTAGACCCCTCTGGGCTCTGATTCACAGCATGCCAAGCAGATTTTTTGGTAACTTAATTAATTGCAGAAACCTGAACCTTTGCATTAAAGCCGGCGCTGTAGTACTGATGTATTTTGCAATCCTGCAGCAATGCTTTTTTTTCTTTTTTTTTTTGCATGGTACCCACATTAGTGGTTAAAATCAACTCGAAACTGCATACATTTAATTATTTCATTTAATTAAGCAATGAGTTTGGTCTTCATGACTAAAGCCAGACCTTCAAAATGTCTTGTTTTAGCTAAATTAAAAATAAATAAATAAATCTAAATCCAAGAAAAGACAAACTTTGGAAGCAGAATATGTTTGGGATTTTGTTGGATACGTTAATTTTTCTGCTAAACAATCTAAAAGCCAAATCTTGAACAAAGAAAAACAACAACAACAACTTCCTCTCTTTACTTGCAAACATCCTGCTCCAAGAATAGAGTCTGGTGCAAAACAGAGCTGCAGCTCACGTTCACAAGAGGTTAAACAGGTGAAATAGCCACTGAGGTTAATGACAGTACTTTAAAGACTGTAATGGAAGAGGCAGGAAAGCTAAACACACAGCTCTGACCTACAGGACAGCAGCCAAGCAAAAATCTAGCTTGACAGCTGAAAGAAAGTCAAATCAAGAGAAGAGTTGGCCTTTCTAAAACCAACTCGAAACAAGAATTCATGAAGGAATCAGTGTTAACGCGTGGGCTGAACCCCTCATCTGAACGTGTGAGGAAAAAGTGACATGAAGGAAGCGATGTTAGAAAGTCAACAAGCATGAATGAGTTTGATGTGAGATTTTTAAAAGCAGAGCTAAAAGAACCTCACATAAATAAATACAAACAAACGGAACAGAACGAAAGAAAGACATCCAACTCCCTCTCAGCTGAAGGCTGGATAGCTTCACAGGTCTGCTCCCTTTCAGACGCCTCCAGGATTATCTAGGGAATGTATCTGCATTCTTTACAACAGATTCCATCGTTGCTCCCAGGTCCAAATCTTCATCTTATCCTGGCAGATTTTTAGACTCGACTTTGGCTGCCGTTGGATATTTACTGTTACGAGAAGAACTTGTATAAAACAGACCGACTGCGGAGGCATTATTTCCCCTCAGTGAATTCAGCTACCGCTCAAAGAAGCGCCGCTGTACAGTTTTGCTGCTTTTATGGAAGCAAAGCGGCAAAAAAGCGGACTCCTCGTCCACCTACTGCTGTCGCTTTAAACTCCTAACTTGTGTTTTAGCCAAGAGACACAACTGTGCCTGTTTACACAAAACAGCTGTAAACCCTGGAGGATGAAAAGCTTGAACTTGGCTGCACTTCGCCGCTTTAATCTCCAGAGAAGATCATCACATTCGTGAGTTAAGTGCACCTGAGATTATGTGTCTGCAACCACAGAGTTACCTCAGGGAGGCGAAGCCTGTTTGCAAACACTCGTTCTTTCACACACACCGCCTCACCACAAACATCCAGGACTCGGCTCCACGTTTAAGGTGCAAAAACCAAAAGCAGCTCGCAGGTCGCGAGGCGTGGGAAAACCTCAGCATCCCTTACCTGGATGAGACATTTGCTGACGTCACTGGCGCAGAGGGCTTTGTTGCAGCCGGAGGTCAGAGATAATATTGAAAGGAGGAAGAGGAGAACGGCGACAGCGGGGAGGATCAGCTCACCGGGCCTCATCCTGACGGCTCACCAGCAAGGCACTGGGAAAAGTCCTACATCAATGAGAGACACAGCACAGGATCTTGGATCAGGAATGGAGGATTAAGGCAAACAAACAACAGTTTAATTCCAAAAGAGGAAAGTGAAGCTCTGTTCGACTGGAGAGCTCTCCTCCATTTTGTGAGAGAGTTAACATCTAACTTCTACTGTTAAAACACACACACACACACACACACACACACAGGAATAAAGTTTCATCCTAAAGTAGATGCAAATGTGCTGTCACGTGTGCAGGAACTCACTGCTTTGCCTTTCTGTAAAGTCTTAATTTGAACTTTTCTAAAACGCTCGCGTCACATCTCATTCAAAGCCAGCACTGCTTACTTTACTGAAGAACAACAACAACAACACACACATACACACATCTGGCAACATCAGCTCCCTTTCTCCCCCCTTTCTTCACCCCCTTCTATTTTTGTCGCGCTTTAACACTCTCTCCCATCTCGCTCCTACACTTCAACACTTGCAGCACATTGTTGCATTTCGCATGACGGCGAGAGAAAACATGTGAGGAACATTAGCTCCCCGAGTCCTGAACGCGTTTCTTCACCTCTCTTTTTCCCCTCCCCTGCTCCGCTCAAAACTTTGTCTCACTCGCACGCAGCCACAAGAGAATCGAGTGCGCAAAAAAGAAAAGAAAAAAAATAACAGCGAGTAAATGCAGATATTAGAGAGTCTCAAACTTACCACAACGCAGTTAACGAGCTCGAGGTTTTCCTTTTTTTTTTTAAGGAGGACTGGGGTTGTGCTCTCTTTGAACCTCTCCAGGATGGTGTTCTGCCGCCGCTCAAGTGTCCACTGTGTCCAGAGGGCGTCAGTCTCTCCGCAGCACAAAGCGACAGGCAGTCGGGCGCCTTAAAGGCACACACACACTCCCTTTTCTATCCGGCGTCTGTGCAGGAAAACACCGGGTCTCGGGTCTCACACAGTCACCGGGTGACGCGCATGAATCATTCAGCTCACCTTTAACGTAAATATGAGCCCGGAGCAAAGTTTGAGAGGTCGGTGCGTAAAATTCGCTTCTTCCAACGCAGGTGGGTTATGTTTGCCTTTTTCTTTCTCCCCCAACAACAAAGGAAGTATTTACTTTTCACTCCACCCCCTGCCCAATTACATATCCCCTTTTGTCTCCACTCTCATTAGTGGCCTTGTGGGTTGCTCATTAGGTCATCTGAAGCCGTGAAGCTGATCAGACTTCCAGCCGCGACGCTCATTTGTTGCCGCCGCGGAAACCCTCTGATGGAGCGTTTAACTCCACAGGTGTTTACATGGCTTTTTGTGAAACTTCATCAAAGACCCAACTGGCCACCACTTCCATAGCTGCAGGGGAGGAAGGCAAATTACAATTTTAATCGGATTTAGTATATATATATTTTTTTTATCTTGACAAAGGTTAATTAACTTTAAATTTGTGATAAATTATGTTTTGGACTAAAAGTCAGGTTTGAAAGTTGTCAAGATTAGTTTAATCAATTGCATATGTTTATTTTATTTTCATTTGTTATGAGTTCTGTGGGTGTCAGAGGGAATATGAATATGTCAAAGAAAGTGTAAAAAAATCAGAATTATTGTGATGTATAACCAAACCAAAATATACGAAAATGTACCTAAAGTAAAAATACTTTTTATCCAAAGTGTCCCTCTTAAGAATCCTACACATTATATTATTGAATCATAATTACTGATTGACAGATACGTGTAACTTTACTGTTACAGTTGCAGATGATTTTAAACCCTTACCTATAACACAGCAAGATATTAATAGATTTGTATTTTAAAAGCTGCAAAAAAAAAACAAAAAACAATTAACCAAGGCTTTAAAATTATTGATAAGGATTAAAACTATAATATTTGAATCCAAAATATTGCGGAGTAGACAATTTATATGTAGCATAGTGTTTACATATCCTAAACTGTGCTTCAAGCTTCAAGTTTGTCTTTCCAGCCGTATGTAAAATACTGTGGCATGAAACTGCATTTCTCAGGGCCAGAATATGTGAAAAAGTGGGGAACGCACAAGATGAAGACAGAGCAACACAAGGACAGGTTAAAAAATGTTTTAGGAAGGGTTGGTGCCACATCATTCCTCACTGTTATGTATAAATATACCTTAAAGACAGACTAAAGCAGTGGAAAAGCTCCACACTGATAAAACTTATGGTGTCGAAGGTAACGGTCCCGCAGTAAATCCTTCATTCATAAAATTGATGTGCAGGAATGATTGAGGTGACAAATAAAATCTGTTGAAGCCAAATAAAACCAAACTATTAAAACACATTATGTTCGTCAGTATTAATGGTCCAAGTAGGACTAGTATTATCATGTTAATTATACTCCTTTAAATATCATCTTACTGGAATAATAATGCTGATGCAATCGTGTGCAAGCAGTTTGTTGACATTGTTCCACCCAAGCTTGCTTCAGCAGAGCTTTACATTAAGGGACTCTCTTCACCTTCATCTGCTAAAGGAGGAAACTTAAACTCAGCTTTAAGCTGAGCTTAAAAACATGCGTTTATGAGCAGGACTGCTCTAACATTTCAAACTGTTTTGAAGCCAGTCACATGACTTTCGGGTTTTAGATGACAAACCAACACCAAGAGGAGCGTCTTTAAATGCATAACATGTCAAAGCAGATGGGTTACTTCAGCAGAACACCACACCGGGTCCCACTCCAGTTAACTAAACTGAGGCCATTACACAGACTCACCAAGAGTGGGAAAATGTTGCCTGGTCTGATGAATTCATCTGCAACATTTACGCAAACATTGTTTTAATGCCAGAGCCGGAGTATCGTTGCAGATCATGTCACCCCTTTATCACCACAATGTACCCACCTTCTGATGGCTGCCTCAGCAGGATAACACAAGCCAAGCCAACTTTATGTATATAGTGGTTTAAAAACAGCAAGTGCTGAGCAACGTGCTTAACAATAAGGGCATGATTAAAATAATAAAAAAATAAATAATATAAAGAAAACTGCTCTTTTATCGAGGGGCTATTTTTTATTTTACTGCATCTGTTTTTCAACAGGAAAAATAAAGTCACAGCTGGAGGTGCAGCGCTGCTTACAGTGACATCTACTGGCTAAACATAGTACTACCACTAAATAGTGTTCAGCTGAGGTGGCTGTACTATGAAAATAGGTTTTTACCAAGAATCACACCAACAAAAAATTTAATTTCACAACAAATAAAATTTATTCAATTATATATTACAAATATCTACAAGTCATGTAACAAGTAAATATTAAAATAGACTTTTTTAGAACTATCGTTCAAAAGGCATTATGCTGAAAAAATAGGATTTGTTGTGATCTCACAATGAAACTGTAAAAGTATGATTTTTTTTTGTTGTTTTTTGTTTCCTTGGAAGCCACAACAGACTTTAATGTGCACAAGACACAATGAACAACATGAGGAGTGAGGCCACAATAAGGACATAACACAATGGCGCAAAAAAGGGGGAAAAGAAAAACAACAAAAAAAAAAAAGTCTGAACACTTCAGTAAACCTCACAATTAAGTCCACAGTACAGCTCTTTAGGGAAAAAGTACAAACAATGCAACGCATGCACAGCATTTAATTGCCAAAGTCAAAGAACACCAGCTGTGGCGTGGATGTCCAGATGAGGAAGGAAGAAACAGCAAAAACAAAACAGGAAAAAAAAAAAAAAAAAAAGAAGCAACTGAAGCCAACACATGCTTAAGATTTTAAGCCAACGACAACATCACAAACAAAGAGGACACTCAATATCAAAAAAAAGGGGAAAAAAAGGGGGGGGAAAAGAACTTTGGTCCATTAAAACATCAGACAGAACAAGTTTACAATCAAAATATCTATCATTTTGTTGTTGTTTTACAAGTTTAAAACAATAATTACATGGCTATTTACAAATGCACAATTTATGTATAAAATAAGTTAAAAAAAAAATTAAGAGCACAGTCTGTACACAATGTATGAACACTCAGTTTGAAAACAATTGAAATCTTTCACTTGTGTGACCCTGCTTGATGAGGTGTTGTTGTCCACACGGCGCCTCCTCTCGCTGCACCGCCTGGCCCTGCTTCTCGTCTCGGCTCCCCGGCTACGTCTGTTGCCTGGACGGTCTTCCTTCCCCGTCCTCGTGGGCGGGCGGCCTGTTTTGGACTCTAAGAGCTCTGGAATTAAAATGGTCTCTTTTTTTAAGTGCTCTTTCTTATCACCGCCTCATTATAAGTGCTTCACATTTTTTCCTTTCCTGTTCCCCGATTGTGCAGGCTGCCCGCTCGTGTCAGCAATTTAGCTGCCGCTGTGGCAAAGCGCGTCTGTCCTACAGCTCATATCGGGGTCAGGTCAAAGTCGTCGTTGACCTCCACGAGCGGGATGTAGAACTCGGGGATCTCAAAGATGCTGGTGGACTTGTAGGTGGCCGGGTCCAGCTCCTGCAGCTTGAGCTGCCACTCCAAGCGCTGCACTGCGTTCAGAGCTGCTGCCTCGTGCTGCTGCCTCATCAGAAGACACGTCTGTGGAGGGAAGAAAAAGAGGTCGTGACTTCATCCAACAGCTGTTCTCATTTAGACCAAGAGCGTCTGTCTCCAAGAAGGAACTGGTGGAGGAGAGGGTAGGAAGAAAAAACAAAGGCAACCAAGAAGTGAAACGTTTTTCTCCACCCTGCTGCTAAACCCAAAAACGCTCTCCGGCACGCTTAATTCAAAACAAAAAACTGGACTGTACCATCGATCGACACCAGAGAAACTTTCCCTGGGTGCTTCATCAGGTACACCTGTTCAACTACTTGTTAACCAATCACATGGCAGAAACTCAGTGCACTTATGTACGCGGACATGGTCAGATGCTGGAGTTCAAACTGAGCATCAGAATGGGGAAGAAGTGAGACGATTGACGTTGTTGATTCACAAGTATTTCAGAAACTGCCCATCTGCAGACATTTAACCACACAAACACCTTGAGGGTTGCTGATGACAGAAGAGAATGGCCAGACCACCTCGAGCCGATAGGAAGGCAACAGTAACTCAAATGACCACGTATTTGTGCCATATTACAAACCTCCAAAAATAAAATAAAATAAAAAATAAAATAAATTGACAATGAGTTCACTGTACTCTGATGACCTCCCCAGTCACCAGATCTCAATCCAGAAGAGCACCTTTGGGATATGGTGGACCGTGAGCATCATGGATGTTCAGCAACTGTGTCATGCTATCATTTCAACATGGGTTAAAATCTCAGCAATGTTTCAGGCACCTTGTTAAATCTGTGCCATGAAAAATTAAAGCAGTACTGGGGCTCCAATTCAGTGCTAGTTAGGTTTACCTAATAAAATGGTCAGGAAGGGTAGTTGGTGGTTCCTTTTAGCACAATTATTTTTCATCCCTTCCAGAGAATAGCCATATGCAATTAATTAACTTATAAACATCCCCCTTGCTTTAAACTTGGAAGTCGCTGCTCTCTGGCTACCCCTAACCCTTCTCTTAGTTTCCTGGCTGCCTCTTGGCTTCCTGAGCACGGACGCCAAGATGTCACAAGATAAATCTCAGATGCATGAAAGGCAGAGATCTGCATCTTGGATGTAAAAAGCAACAACTAGCAGGATACAATCACTGAAAGATTAAAAGCATTCACATATGAGACAATAAGACCATCTAAAACAAGCAAACAACTCTTTCTACATTTTTTGGAATAGCATAAAAATCTCCTGCAATGATATTTCTGACCATTTCCTTATAATTTCAGATTCACTGCTCACCTTTAGTTTGTCAAACTTGTCGTCGACATCTTGTAACCACGACATGAACTGCCTGGCGTTGAATCGGTCCCTTACTGATGTTTTGCCATCATCACTCTATGAGACAAACAAATGATAAACTCTCAAATTCTCCCCAAAATACACTAAAAACACTGGACTGTAAAACATAAACCCATGGATGTCCTTGTGTTAATTACCTGGACATCCTGCGGCATGTTGTACACTTCCGCATCCAATAAAACGGTGCAGGCACTGAAAGGCAGAGTCTGATTGGCTAGTGTTCTTGCTGCCCGGTAATGGACTCGTAAGACCTCCTGCTCGTTTGAAACAATCAGCTTTTCCTTAAAGAAGGAAAAAAGAAATCCAGTCAGTGTCATAAATCCAACGTTTGTGTGTTAGC